TTGTTTTGGTCCCAGTTCTCAAAACGTGTATTTTTTTTTTCTTCCCTCTGCATAATCGTCTAATGTAATGTTTAAATGTCCTGACATCACGTTTCACGAATCTTAACACTTTTGCTTTTCAAAATAATATTAAACACTGGCAAATATTAAAAAAATTAACAGCATTTAAACTTTGCTTTTAAAATAAGAAAAATCCTAAACTTCAGCAAAAGAATTTCGGCCCAGCGTGACCTAAAGAAGTTGGTCACTCAAGGGCTCCTTTTATAATTAATTCACTAGTCACAGAACAGACCTACGATGACATAAGGCTCTTATTATTAAAGAAAGGGCTAACACAAAGCTCTAGTCCATCTTTGTAGGAAAATCCATGATTAATTGAAAAACCAGATCTAACTTTTTTTAGCCCAGTTCCCCAGGCTTGAGATTACGACCTCGCACCACCGCGCCCGGACGGTTATAGGGTCACATAAAACTTCTTATATATTACATTAAGTGGTTTGCAATTTCTCTATGTGGGACTTCGTTAAAGGTGATTTCGGCTACGGAGTTTCATACTTTCAACGTCTTATTTTAATGATTTTTATTCAACATGTTGTGGGATGTGGGATTTAATCAACAAAGTTGTTTTCAATTTCTGTTGTAGACAAAGAAGCCGGAAGTAACCTTCTACAAAGTCCATTGAGCCAATCGCGTATCTGATCATTGCCCTTTTGTCAGGGTAAAATGATAAGGGTCAGGTGCTTAGGCAAAGGCCCAAACTGCAAAGTTTTGGGCTGCCATTTGGACGCAGACCACCGTCCTCTATAAATTTGGATCAGATTTACATTTTATGCTTGACCAAGGTGATAACTATGCAAGCAAAGTTTTTATCTGAATTTTAAAAATTTTAAATATAATAATTGAATTATAATTTATTAATTAATGTATTATTTATTTTTAATGTAATTAATTTTAAATGATGTTATATAATCGATAAATAATTTTTTGAATATTATATTAAATAATAAATTTATAATTTATATATCATATTAAAAATTTTTTAAATTTAAATATTTTATTATAATTTTAAAATCGTTTATGATATTAACTCAATTTTTATCTCTCTCGAAGATGGATAGCAAATGCTAAGGCTTGACTTGGATTTTGAAGCAGTCCTAGTAAAACGCAGTTGAACGAGCAAATCGTGTCATTTTTACGTTTGGATCGCAAATGTTCAATGTCCCACCACGCTGAAACACCAGTCACAAATTGAACCTTTATAGGTCCAATGAAAAATTGTAAAATATAATCATTGTTTTATTTATTCTTTTAACTTTTTTTATGATTTCAACACCTGTTTATTTTATTTTATTTTTATTTTAAATTTTTAAAATTTTCAAATGATTTATTTTTTACAAAATAAAATTATTATTTATTAACTAAACTATTATTTGAGATACAAATGATTTAATAATTTTTAATAATTTATTATTTTTATAAATATTAATAAAATTTTCATCTATATAGTAATTTCTATTATAATATGTATAATAGTAATTTTTTTATTACAATTCATCTCACTATTATTATTATTTTAATATCTAAATATATATTTCATCATTTATTTTAATACTATCGTTATAGTAAATAATATCACATTCATCACTATTTTCAATTTTATCAAAATTAATCTTATTATTTATCTAAATAGATCTTAAATTAATTCTTGATTATACCTTTTGACATGTCTTACAAACCACAAAATCACTAATGTGATCAATTAATTTTTAGATTGCAATATGAATAAATTATAATTTTTGTTCATCCTTTCTATTACATCAGCAGTACGAATCAGTGACACACGTATGTAAGTAACATCACATAATTATTTCGTTTTTAATCTCACTTCATGTAAAAAAAAAGAAGTTTATTTTACACACGCAAGGGAAAGATGAAGAACCAACCTTAATCATGCTTTTCTTCTAAGTTTTGTGTTAGTGGAAGTCATCTTCATCTCAAATAAAACCAAGTTGTTCTTACGATTAATATCATCAAATATTGTTGTCAAATAGTATATAGATAGATGTTGGATGAGGAGTAAGGTGACAATATTAAGTGGCAGGCAAGGCCCTTGGATAGGGGACAATGAGTTCCCCCGTTCATTACTCTTTGTCATCAACACTACCTTTTTAGGTGTTCATGACTTCATTCTTCCACCACTTTTTTCCTGATAATTCCTTCCAAAAAGCACTGTTTTATTTCCATTAAATATCAGCAAATATAGGATTTTTGGTATTTATACATGTGAATCTTCCCTTTTGGGTAATGAATAAAGAGCAAAAGATTTCATTCAACTATACATCTTTGTGTTTTGGAGTTGCCCATTTCTATGAATTTGGATTTGTTGGAGGGAGTTGCCCATTTGGACGAAGGCGATGTTGGTGAGGTTCAATCTGAAGATGGAGTTTATGCTAAGAGCATAGCAATTCATTTCAGATTGAGCCGCGCCAATATCACTTTTTGTTTCTTGGTTTGCATCGGCTACCGATTGTCAAAGGTTTTAATTCTTGCCTACCCATCATTCGTCTTCTTCTTGGCCTCTTTTCAGGTTTGTCATCTTTGCATAATTCACAATGTATTGTCGTTGTTTTTCTAACATTTTATGTTGGTTCTTTCTCATTCTACATATAGCCTCGTTTTATGCTTTTTAATAAAAATAAAAGCAATTATTTTTCAGTTAGTCCAAGAAAATTTTTAATTTCATTATAAAAATGTCTTTACATGTTTAAAGTCAAATATAGAACAGATAACTAACTTAATTAGTAAAATTACATAAAAAATAAATAAAAATACAATACTATATATTAATTACAAATTAAAATTGAATCCAATTTTATTAAAGCATGAACATATTCAATTTTAGATGCACGTGTGGAGTAAATTAATTTAATTACTGATGAATTGCTTAAATTCAATCAATGAATTTTTGAACTCAACTCATTTAATTTTAAGCTAAAATCAAATTTAAGGTTATCGAGTTTTGCAATTCTCAATTCAAAGTAACTTATAAGTCTTAAGTCTTATTGAAGTGTTAATTTTTAATATTTATATATAAATAAAATACAATAATTTTCATTTGCATTAACTATGGTTTTAACCTTTTACATATAGCATCATGTGATTTTTTTCTTAATTGGCAACATGTTATTAATTTTTTTTCGTGAAAGGGTTATGTCATTAATTTGATTCAGTAAATTATCAAAATATCCTCAATTAAAAAATTATAAGCATTATTTATTCAAATTTAAGGATATTTTCATAAATTTTATTAGATAAAAATTAATTGCTTAACTTTCAATAAGAGTACCATGCATTCACTTGATTACAAGAGTATTATCGATTAAAAAAAAATTAAATATAAAATAGCTATTATGTCATATATTTTTTATTAGTTTCATATTTAAAAAAAAATTTAGTTTGGTACTACAATTTTTATTCAATCATCCATTTTATTACTTAAAACTAACATCGTGAGTTAATATACTAACATGATATGAATATCTAATAAAATATTGACACATATCAAAAAGTTTAATAAGTATTATATTATTAATTGCCATGTCAACAATTAAAAAATTTTTAAAATATTCTAAAAAATTAAAAAAATTCAAAAATATTTTTCAAAAGTCTTAAATATTATAAAAATTATAAAATTAAAAAAATTGAAATATTAAAAAAAATTTTAAATAATAAAAACTTAAAAAATTCAAAAATTTAATAAAAAATCCAAAAAAATTTTAAAAAAGGAAAATTTTAATAAAATTAAAATTTTGGTAAAATTCAAAAAAGTGTTCACAAAAACTTATAAATTTGAAAATGAAAAAATTTTGAATTTTTTGATAAAAATCTAAAAACTTTTAAAAAATTGTAAATGTTTTTAAATTATGAAAATTTTTCATTTTTTTTAATCCTACAATTTTAATTTTTTATATATTTTATGAATTTTTTATTTTTTATAGTTTTTAATTTTTTTTTATTAAATTTTTTTAAATTTCTCACAATTCTTTTAGAATATTTCATATTTTTAAATTTTTGAAATTTTTAGAAATTTTAGGAATTTTAATAAATATTCGGATTTTTGATAAAAAATTTAGCTATTTTAATTTTCAAAATTAAAAATTTAGATTTTTTATTTTGAATTTTTTAGTTTTTATGAATTCTTTAAAAATTTAATAAACTATTTTATTAAAATTTTCATTTTTTAAAAAATATTTTAAAATTTTTAAAAAACAATTTTAGAATTTTTTTAAAATTTTATTATAATGCTAATGTGACAATTAATGAAGTAGCATAGATTAAACTTTTTTGACATATATTAATATCTTATTAGATATTTAGGTCACATTAGTAAATAGGTTAACGGGGTTAGTCCGAAATACTAAATAAATGATGAAATAAAAATTAAAGTATCAAACTGATAATTTTATTTTTTTAAATATCAAATTAACAAAAATGTATAATACAAAAGCTTTTTTTATATTTAATCTAACTTCTTAGGATCTTTTTTTTTTCGAAAAAATTGAGTTTTATATTGAGTAGGATCAAGTCAGATAATAGTAAAAAAAATTTAGATAATTTTTAAGTAAATTGTCTGGGTCCGATCCAATATGTATATATATAAAATTATTCTTTAATTAATTAATTAATTAATTATATATTTATAGATATTTTTTATATTTATTTAATTTATATTTACATTAAAAAATTATATTTTATATTAAAAATAAAATTTTATTAATTTTAAATCAAATTAAATCGAATATGATTTTATATAAAATCGAATTGAATTAATTTCAAATATAAAAATATAAAAAATTAAATCAAATTGAATTTAAATATTATAAATATAAAATCAAATTTAAATTGAAAACGAATCAAAACCTATCCCGGCGAACCGGTTGTTATCCGTACTTATACAGCCTCAATTCAATTACTTTGCGAAACACGAGTAACCACCGGACTTTCAACCGCAGGAGTAGAGTGAAAAACTGAAAATCCCAAAATCTGTGTAAAAAAATCAAATAAAGAAACGAAATTAAAATCCCCCGTATAACGGAACGGTCTCTTCTCAAAAAATGATTTTTTTAACAAACTCTCTTCCTCTTCCTCTTCTTTTTAGCTTCTACTTCGTCTCAGTTGAAATTCATAATCTCCAAAAAAAGAAACCCCCAAGCCTAAAATTTTAGAGTTGGATTAGTTATGGAAAGCTTTGAGGAGAATAGTAACGGTAATCGTGGCTGCAACTTGCGGGTTTTGAATTTGCTGGAGAGGCGGCGTTTAGCTCCGCTGAATTTTAATGGCGGTGGTGGCGACAATGGTGGTGGTGGTAACGATGCTGTCGCTGCAGAAAAGTTGTTGTATCGGAAGCTTCCTCAACAGCATGTCCTTAATCTCTCTGTTCTAAAGCTCGATGGTTCTCTTTTCGGTAAAACTCCATCGATTTCATCCAACTTAGTTGTTTTTTGCTGTTCTTTTACGTAGTGCTTAGTTCTTATTGTTATAATTTTTTGGTTTTTTAATTACTGAAACAAAGAAAAAAACCTTAAAATGGATATGAAAAGGTAAAATTGATAATTTTGATGAAAATTTCTTTCTAAGTGAGGTATTTTTCCTTTTAGCATTTTGCATCTTAAGTAAACTAAAAACAAAAAGGAGAAAGTATAACCTTTTATATCTTTTTAAAGTAAAAGGATTAATCAATCCATTGTTATTGCCTTAGGTCTATGCTCTTGTCGTAAAATAATATAAAAAAATTGCAGAAGTGCTTTTAAGTAGGTCAATTTTAGATACACACAATGTGAAAACGATATAAAAGAAAAGACATATATGAAAGTGACATTAGGAAAATAATATGAAGAAAGACAGTACGGTTCTTTTTATTGTTCCTGATTGAGGTCTTTGGATTATGCAGATGTTAATGTAGGAAGGAATGCTACAGTTGCAGAGCTGAAGGTAGCAATAGAGGAACTTTTTGCAGCATTGCCAGGGGAAACTCATGGCAGCATTTCATGGTATTAACTAATTCATGAACTTTCAAATTATGAATGATTTTTATCTGTTTGATTGATTATATGTGTTGGTTACGTGGGTTTTGATTGTTTTGAGTAGGGTCAGAAAGTATGGTTTATAATTTTAAAATATACTTGAACTTGATGTTGTTTTGTTAGGTCACATGTTTGGGGCCACTTTTGCTTGTCTTATGATGGTCAGATGCTGGTTAACAACAAGGCTTGCCTTAGAAATTTTGGAATCAAAGATGGTGATCAGGTTTTGTTTCATACGTAATAGTTTTGTTTTGTTTGTGAAACTTCTGAAACACATAATACCAGTACTATTTACGATTTTTGAAGGCTGGATTGAGCACTGGCAAAAAGTTGTATGGCTCTTTTCAGCTATATGGCCTATTTGCAAATTGCAATTGGGGTTTTAGAGTTGCTTTCAAATGGTGCTCCTATGTTTGCATGTTTTGAAAGTAACCTTTTCATCAGACATGAGGCGACGCTGATTTTTGGGTTCACAGACGATAACATTCTATAGTATTTTGATAATTGACTTTATTTTCTTCTTGAGTTTCATCTGAAGATTAATAGGTGCATTATCTTTTTTATTTTTCATGAGTTCAAGCTGCAATTATCTGATGTTTCTTTTTGGTGCATACAGCTTCAATTTATCAGACACATGTCTGTCAACCAATCGCCTATAAAAAGAAGATTAAAACACCATAGTGTTCCCCGCAAATGGTACGCACTACTCAGTCCAAAATCTGCTTTATTCTTTTAATCTTTAGAACTATTTGATATTGAAGATGCTGTCGAATGAGCCATGTGTGTCTTAGACTTTGGGTGACACATGTTTGTTTCTGGCTCTTTTTATCTTTTTTAATTCAATTGATTCATGCAATCACCTTTAAGAGGTAGCATCCAACAAATTTAGAGTTCAAATCCTAATACTTACAACCTTTACCCTTATCTTCAAACAGTGGCCTCCTATATATTAAAAAAAAAAGAATCTTCTGCAATTCATTTTTTATTGTGCTGACCAACAAGTACAACTAATTGCTCTGCTTATAGCTTGCCATCAGGATCAAGTTATCATCAGGAGAAGCAGCAGAATGCTGTGAATTACAATGATAAGGATGAAAACCAAGAGGATAGCTCCATTTCCAATCATTATGAAGAAGAGGAAATTCCTCTTCCAGAGTTCAAGTTAGCCCACTTCTTGAGAGGATGGCTCTCACACACCAGATTTTGGGGTGTTTCAAGAAAGGGATCAGAAGGCCGGATTCATCCTCCAAGATTCACCCTGCAATGCTTGGGAGGCTGATCCACAATGATTCCACAAGGAGATAGGGTAGAGCAAGTATGCCTAAAACAGTGTTGGCTTCCGCACAGCATTGTGCCCTTGATCTGAAATTTTGGTTTTTTTGGTTAATATCATAAATAACCTCTAAACTATAGTGAAATGTTTAATATGCTTCAATTTTAAAGATCTTTAATGTGATATTTGAACTATGAATCTATTAACTAATATGGTACTTTAGAAGGTTGTTTATCCATTAGGTATTATCATTTAAAGCTAGCCACATTAGAGATGAATATTATATTAGTTAATAGATTAATAGTTCAGACATCACATTAGAGATTTTTAAAATTCATCACATTAAACATTTTTATATAATTTAGGCATTATACATAACATTAATCATTTTATGTTCTATGTCAAATAATCTCAATATTATTGGAGTTAATCATTGATCAGTACTACTTTGATGTAAATGGCTTTCTGGCTTTTCTATATTTTTATGGTAATGATAATAGTAAGTTGGTCCAGTCTTTCTTCACAAGAAATGTTGGTTTTCCTTCTCAATGATGGATTCCTGTTATAAGCATATCATCTACAATAATTGTACTACAATTAATTAATCATATTTTAAAGTTATGTAGGATTTATCAAAATATTATATAGAGTCCACTTTTATAAGTGGTGGATTCTCACATAATTTTTATTGTGATCGAACAATTATAGCATTGCAGTTAAAATGCTCCCTCGTGAAATAAAACTTTAATTTTTTTTAAATTTTTCCTTAAATAAAAAAGATTTTTAATTTTTGCAATAACTTATGTGTAGATATATAATTTTGTCTGTGATGCTTTTAAAGTTTGACCGATTCATATATAATATTTCTTTTAAAATTTATGAATTTTTAAAATTGAATTTTGGGTTAAATTGACTAAAATGCCTTATGGTCAAACATAGTCAAATTTGATCAACCCTTGAAATTCACAATTGAATAGGATTATTAAGATTTGAGATTAATAAAATCATGATTTGGATTCTTGAAAATCATGATGGTACCTCATAAGGTTGAAATTAAGAATATACGTTTTAGGAGTATTTTCGTAATTTAATAATCTCAAAGTTAGTTTTTCGCAAAAAGCTTTAGATTAAGTTTCAATATTATTCATGAATTTTTATGCATTGAAAATTTTGATTGGACCTTTGAAAAGTTGAAATTACTAAAATCTAAAGTACCTATTATGAGTATTTTTGTAATTTAACCATCTTTAAGTTATTTTTTCTCAAAAAGCTCCAAATCATGTTTAAGTATTATTTTATGAATTTTAATATGTTGAAAACGTTAATTACATCTCAAAAGGGTGAAATTATTAAAATGGCTTTTAGGATATTTTTATAATTTGATATTTTTGAAGTCGATTTTTCATGAAAAGCTCCAAATCATAGTTAGATATTATTTTATGATTTTTGATCCATTAAAATCACGAAAATAAATATTAGATCATAAGATTTTAAGAAATTCGTGAAAAAGCTTAAAAAACACTAATAAAGGTAAAATGGTCTTTTCTTATTAAAACTGCTGCACTATAAGCCAAGATGGATGTTATATTTTTTTAGAGCCATTGATCTTAAAAGGTTTGCATCTTAGAATCAAGATTGCTTTCCTTGATCATCGAGCTTAGGGGAAAAAAACAAAAAAATTGTAACCCTTAGATGAAATTGATCCAAGAGTTAGGTCTTGGTTTTTAAACATATGATTTAAGGCTGGAATTGAGGAGGAAGCATCTGGAAGTGGTGAAAAAAACCATAAGAGAAAAGGAAAAAATAAAAAAAAAATGGAAAAGCTTTGAAAGGTGGTCATTTCTCACATTTTCTTTCATTTTTCATACCATTCACATTTTCATCCTTGCAGTTTTTTCATTCTTTTGATCTTTTGATGGTTGCCATTATGTGTTTTAATAAGTTTTTGGTGATGAAATCTTATAGTTATGTGTTTCCTTACTTGGTGACTTGTTTATTGCATGTTTTATGGTTTTAAAAATTGTTTTCTTTAACTATTTATTTTAGTAGTTTTCCAAGTGTTTGATGAAAGTTTTTGGTAATAAAAAGTAGTATTTTACATAGGTTTCTTAGGTGTTTGAATAAATTTTCAAAATTAAAAAGTCAGTGTTTTATGTGTCTTCAAGGTGTTTGATAAAATAAAAATGCAAGTTTTCATGAGTTTCCTAGGGGTTTAAAAATGTCTAACGAAACTGTTCTAGCATGGTTATTGGCCTAGCATTTTCCATAGCATGGCCAAAACCTCCTCATCTTTTCCATGGTCTCAATGCTTATTTGATTGGTAGCATGCAGCTTAGGTATAGGGTAATTAGCTAGGTATTTGTTAAAATGTTAAGTCACATAATTGTATGGTATTTTAATTTCATGCATCACTTAATTTATGCTCATATTATCATATATGCATTTTATGTATTGATAGTAAATATGGAATAGCAAAATCTTATTTTCAAAAATAATAGAGAATAATATTTCTAAAAAATGATTTTGGAAAATTAATCTTGAATTTTTAAGTGAAAGATTAATTTTTTCAAATTATGCCTTGATATTAGAGAATTAAAGAAAATTTTTGACATAAAATGAATAAAAATAAATAAATTTCATCCTTGATTTTCTTTTAAACAAAGGGTTAATGTTAAAAAAAAAAAATTATATGTATATGGATCAAGTTGATTATCTGCATTCTTTAATTTATATTTGTGTCATCCATCTGTTTTATATGATATTACTTGCATTTCATCATTTTCAAAGAAATGCAGAATAATAAATGGTGATTTTGGAGAATTGTTGTAAATAAAAATTAATATTTCTAAATAAAAATAATTTTGAGACCCAATTTCAAATGATATCGACATTATTCACAAATATTCATTTTTTGACTTAAGCAATTTCTTATAACTTATAATTATTTTTTATAAAAGAATATTATATCAGATTTTGAAAATTATTATGAAAGCCCAAATTAGAGAACATTTCAAAATTTTACCTAAATATTAAAGAATTTAGAAAATGTTTCGAAATTAAAAATTTTTATTTTATTTTTAAAAAAAAGTAAAAAAAAAGATTTTCATGAAAAAATTAAAAAAATTATTTTTAAATATTAAAATTAAGATCATTTTTATCAATATTAAGTATAACAAGTGATCAATTAGTATTGTTTTTAAATGGGTATTATAAGAGTGTTAATCTTTTCTTATGCATAATGTACTTTTGAATACAATTTTATTTTTGAAAATCAAAAATATTTTTTTAATAAATCTTAATTAATTTTAAAATTTTATTAAAAAAATAAATTTTTTAAATGATTAATTATATTTAATTAAAAAAATAGTAATGATTCTTTCTTTCTTGAAACTTTTAAAATTTTTGTCTGGCGATTTTTAAAATTGTTATTCCGTTATAGCAAATAACAATATTAATAAATCTAAAAATATTTAAAATCTTATTAAGGAGAGCCATTTTTCTCTCACGAGCCCAAAGATATGGGCCCAATAAGAAGGTAGTCCTCCACGTGGCGCAGTAGGTTCCTGGCAAGCAGATGATCGATGCAGCGCCAAATATTTGGGGATCCCAGCAGTGAGGATTATTATATCGAATATAGTAGATGTTGTAATACAATTAATTAATTATAATTTAAAATTATTTAAGATTTATTAAAATTATGTATAGAGTTTATATTTATAAATAGCATATTTTTATATAATTTTTATTGTGATTAAATAGTTATAAAAGTGTGATAAAAAATTATTAATGAAATACTTCTTGAACGAATACCCCTTTTTTTTTTTTTCAGGAAAAAATTTTAAGTATCTCTCTAAAAGAAAGAATTTCTTAAGCAAAGCAGTCTGCTTTTGCGCGCATCAAAGTTCCTTCCAACAGTTCAGAAATTTGAAAAAAAACTTAATCATTTATATCATTAATATATCAATGAAAATTAAAAATATTTGTATATTACTTCTAATCATTTATAACTTAATCTCAACTTGAAGAGCAAAAACTAATGAAAAACTCTAATGCCTCAAATCACAACTTATTGTCACTTTTTTCTTTTCTCTTATCAATTTTAGTTTGCCTGAGACCTCTAAGACTGCAATTTTTCTATGTTCTGTTTTGTGCAGTTGTCTTTGTTTTTACTGACTTGTGTTGTCGCCGACTTGTATTGTATTTATTAAAGCATATTTTTTTATACAAAAAATTATAAACTAAGAGTATATTTGGATGGATAATCAAATTAATTTTGATAATATTAAAAATAATAATGATAACAAGATTAATTACTGTAATAATAAGATTGATTATTATGACAGTAAAATTAAAAATAATTATGAGATATAGATAACAAAATAATGATATTGATGAAGTGAAAATAAAAATGTTCATTAAAAATTTTACTCTAAAAGTGTATTGATAAATTATTTATATATATATATATTAATATTTTTATATTATTTATTTATTATATTAAATTAAAAAATTATTTTAAAATTTTAAAATAAAAATCAAAATGAGAAAATTTTAAATAATGAAGATTAAATGATATGAAAATTTCTACAAGGGTAAAAAAGGAAACAAATTGTAGGCAAAATTAAGATAAAAGATGCGATGAAAATGGAACAATTTTAATTGGAGCTCTCATCTTTAATGGGCAATTGATGGCTTGACACAATATTCCATGCTCAACGAAGCTTAACTGGGGGTACTTTGGCATCTAAATCACCCTTAAGTTTAAAGGAAAGAATTGCAAGTAATGGAATTTAAATTACAAATTTACTGAATGATATTTTTTAAGTATTGTTTGATATAAAGTGATCATTTTAAAAATTATGGTGATCCATATAAGATGATTAGATCATTATATTTGTTAAATATTTGGTAATTATATATGACAGTAATCTTGAATCATCAAGAGCGATTAGATTTGCCTTGGATGGTAATTTATTTTCAATTCAAAAGAATGTGATATTTTTATCACCTAGATAAAGTGATATGTAAAATTAATAATAGTCAATATTACTTATTTAATATGTGAATTAAAAACTTGCTTCTTTTTAAAATTATAATTATTTTATATTATAATTTTTTATATTTTCAAATTAATATTTGTAACAAGTTCAAAAATAAATTTAGTTTTATTTTTTTAATGTTTTATATATAATATATATTTATTTGTTATGGTTTTAAT